CTGCCTCCCCCACAGTGGCAGCAACTGTCACCTGCCTCCCCCACAGTGGCAGCAACTGTCACCTGCCTCCCCCACAGTGGCAGCAACTGCCTCCCCCACAGTGGCAGCAACTGCCTCCCCCACAGTGGCAGCAACTGTCACCTGCCTCCCCCACAGTGGCAGCCACTGTCACCTGCCTCCCCCACAGTGGCAGCAACTGCCTCCCCCACAGTGGCAGCAACTGTCCCCTGCCTCCCCCACAGTGGCAGCAACTGTCACCTGCCTCCCCCACAGTGGCAGCCACTGTCACCTGCCTCCCCCACAGTGGCAGCAACTGCCTCCCCCACAGTGGCAGCCACTGTCACCTGCCTCCCCCACAGTGGCAGCAACTGCCTCCCCCACAGTGGCAGCCACTGTCACCTGCCTCCCCCACAGTGGCAGCCACTGTCACCTGCCTCCCCCACAGTGGCAGCCACTGTCCCCTGCCTCCCCCACAGTGGCAGCAACTGTCACCTGCCTCCCCCACAGTGGCAGCAACTGTCACGTGTCTCCCCCACAGTGGCAGCCACTGTCACCTGCCTCCCCCACAGTGGCAGCCACTGTCACCTGCCTCCCCCACAGTGGCAGCAACTGTCACCTGCCTCCCCCACAGTGGCAGCAACTGTCACCTGCCTCCCCCACAGTGGCAGCAACTGTCACCTGCCTCCCCCACAGTGGCAGCCACTGTCACCTGCCTCCCCCACAGTGGCAGCAACTGTCACCTGCCTCCCCCACAGTGGCAGCCACTGTCACCTGCCTCCCCCACAGTGGCAGCCACTGTCACCTGCCTCCCCCACAGTGGCAGCCACTGTCACCTGCCTCCCCCACAGTGGCAGCCACTGTCACCTGCCTCCCCCACAGTGGCAGCAACTGCCTCCCCCACAGTGGCAGCAACTGTCCCCTGCCTCCCCCACAGTGGCAGCAACTGTCACCTGCCTCCCCCACAGTGGCAGCCACTGTCACCTGCCTCCCCCACAGTGGCAGCCACTGTCACCTGCCTCCCCCACAGTGGCAGCAACTGTCCCCTGCCTCCCCCACAGTGGCAGCAACTGCCTCCCCCACAGTGGCAGCCACTGTCACCTGCCTCCCCCACAGTGGCAGCAACTGCCTCCCCCACAGTGGCAGCAACTGTCCCCTGCCTCCCCCACAGTGGCAGCAACTGTCACCTGCCTCCCCCACAGTGGCAGCCACTGTCACCTGCCTCCCCCACAGTGGCAGCCACTGTCACCTGCCTCCCCCACAGTGGCAGCAACTGTCACCTGCCTGTGAGAGGTACAGGAAGGTACCCACCGGTAGGCTGGGGTCGGCCTGAGGTGTATTTGCATGTTCTTACTTGAGGTCTTACTAAGGAGTGCCAGATCAACCAGGCTCTTGAGAATATGTGGGCCTGCGGGCCGCTCCAAGCAACAGCCTGGTGGACCAAACTCTCACAAGTCAAGCCTGGCCTCGGGCCGCTCCAAGCAACAGCCTGGTGGACCAAACTCTCACAAGTCAAGCCTGGCCTCGGGCCGGGCTTGGGGAGTAGAAGAACTCCCAGAACCCCATCAACCAGGTATATGTGGGCCTGCGGGCCGCTCCAAGCAACAGCCTGGTGGACCAAACTCTCACAAGTCAAGCCTGGCCTCGGGCCGGGCTTGGGCAGTAGAACAACTCCCAGAACCCCATCAACCAGGTATCCAGCTCGCAATTCGTGGGTAGCCATGGTGGCATAGAAGTCGCCCCATCATGCATTTAATAATAAATTTATTCGCGTTTGAATTGATTTTAACTCCCAGTTAAAATATTCTAATTTTAATATGCAACAAAGATTTCTTCAGTTGAGTCTTAAGCAATATGTGTCTAACCTTAAGTAAAAAAAAGTTGCATAAATTATGTTTTACTCATGTGTTTTATCTATCTATCTATTTGTTTTATTTAAAATTTGTTACAAAAAAGGAGTTACATATAGGGAACAAATATGGTTATCATAAGTTGTGGAGTTCCTCCAGCTCCTCAGATAGCGGGCAGGAACCCTGGATGCAGTGCGCATGTCCCCTCTGTATCGCCACGCTGAGGCGCTGGAAAAAGAAGCTGGCAGCTCTTGGGTTCCCTTGTTGTTTCAATGAGTTTAAAACCCAATTCCTTAAAAAAACTGGCAGTACTTTTACCCCAGGCGCCGAGTGTCTCAGAACCAATGGGGACAAAATTGCAGTGGTGATCCAGTTCTCTGTACTTACGGGATTTGGCTGCCGCCCTGTGAGTGGCAGCGCCACCTGGTTGTGCAACACTGAGGTTAATGTAGGTGTTAGCCAGGGTTGATACGCACGTGTAGTCCCATACCAACTGCTTGCCGTTCTTCCAGGGGTTCACTGTGATACCATCCGGGCGACCAATACGAGCAGAGTTACGGGGCGTTAGGTAACGGGGCTCTCTCTCAGCTGGGCATCCAGCTGTGGTGAGGCTCCTCTTGATGGTGTTATTAACTTCACTGTGCCTCGAGTGCCATCCCCCTGTGCTTTGGCAGAGTAGGCCATGGTGGCCGTACCTGTCAGCCACCACCTCGCCGCAAATACACCTATATCTGGTGTGGATTGGGGCAGCATGGCAGAGGACCACAGCAATTCAGAGGGCGTGAGGTGTGAGACGCGTGCCAGTTGCCGACATTGGGGCTGCTAACAGGAAATCCCCTGCATGTGGGGCAGGGGATATATATATATATATATATATATATATATATATATATATATATATATATATATATATATATATATATATATATATATATATATATATATATATATATATGAGTTTTCAGTTATATATATATATATATATATATATATATATATATATATATATATATATATATATATATATATATATATATATATATATATATATATATATATAGGCATTTGAGCTGAGTTCCGTGCTGCGTTTCACTTACGAGATGGAAAAGGATGGGAAGCTGCCCTTTCTAGATGTAACAGTCATGGAAAAGAGCGGAGGTTTCCACACTGCAGTCTACACTAAGGAAACGAACATAGGAATGTGCCTAAATGCCAACAGCGACTGCCCAGACAGGTACAAGAGGAGTGTTGTTAACGCATATGTCGACCGTGCTCTCAGCCACAGCTCAGAATGGAAGCAAGTCGACGAAGATCTCTGTAGGGTAAGGCAGGTCCTAGTCAACAACGGCTTCTCCAATGGTTTCGTCGAAGACATCATAAGAAGGAAAGTGAAACGCCATGCAACCTCTGAAGAGACAACTAACACAACACCTATACCCCCTATTAGACTATTTTACAGGAACTTCTTTTCCACAGCTCATAAAACAGAGGAAAGGGTCCTGAAAGACATTGTTAATAGAAACGTTATCCCTACAGACAAAAATCAGAGGATACAACTGACGATTTACTATAAAACCAGAAAAACGGCCAGCCTACTCATGAGAAACTCTCCAGACACAAAGCAGAATGCTTTAAAAGAGACCAACGTCGTCTATGCCTTCAAATGCCCACTTGGGGACTGTAAGCTCCAAAAAACCCAGTATATAGGCAAGACAACATCTCTTTCTAGGCGTTTAACGATGCATAAACAACAGGGCTCCATTAAGGAACATATAATCTCTTCCCACAACCAAACCATCGCCAGAGAAATCCTAGTAAACAACACAGAAATCATCGATAGATACAGCGATAGCAGGCGGCATGACGTTTGCGAGGCACTACACATTAAGAAGTCAACACCAGCAATCAACAGCCAATTAATGCACAACTATATTCTACCCACCTCAAGACTCCGCTCCAATATAGAAGCATCAAGAAATATGGACCAATAGGCTTTCTACAATCACTTCCATTTCGAATCCCATTGTTTCGTGTTCTGTCTTGTGTTGATGAAATTAATACCCTATTAATACCACCTCACCCCATCCACCTCACTCAAATGTAGATATAAACAAATCGGAGATGTGTAAGTTCTATTCAGTTGTGTATGTGTTAACTAAAGTCTTTGAAAATGTAATAAGTTTTACGAAACGCGCTCAAGTGTCGCGTCAGACTAGAAATAAAAATGAATTTTGGAGAATTGATTTTTGAATTACCACCAACAGTGAAAAGAAATGTACGAAAGATTGAGAAAATTCGTGTTAGAATTATTAATCTTACTTTTTCGGTCATATTTAATAATATATATATATATATATATATATATATATATATATATATATATATATATATATATATATATATATATATATATATATATATATATATACAGATGATTTCTGTGTTGTTTACTAGGATTTCTCTGGCGATGGTTTGGTTGTGGGAAGAGATTATATGTTCCTTAACGGAGCCCTGTTGCTTATGCATCGTTAAACGCCTAGAAAGAGATGTTGTTGTCTTGCCTATATACTGGGTTTTTGGAGCTTACAATCCCCAAGAGGGCATTTGAAGGCATAGACGACGTTGGTCTCTTTTAAAGCGTTCTGCTTTGTGTCTGGAGAGTTTCTCATGAGTAGGCTGGCCGTTTTTCTGGTTTTATAGTAAATCGTCAGTTGTATCCTCTGATTTTTGTCTGTAGGGATAACGTTTCTATTAACAATATCTTTCAGGACCCTTTCCTCTGTTTTATGAGCTGTGGAAAAGAAGTTCCTGTAAAATAGTCTAATAGGGGGTATAGGTGTTGTGTTAGTTGTCTCTTCAGAGGTTGCATGGCGTTTCAACGCCATGCAACCATGCAACGCCATGCAGTTTCCCCACAAGCAGAGTTTGGAACATAATATCTGATTTTAGAGAGTATACAACCGTTTTTAAGACTTTTTTAGTTATGTGTTGTATGTGGGTACTGAAATTGAGTCTCTTGTCAATGTATAGGCCAAGGAACTTTCCATCATTATTTTTGCTGATCTTAACCACCTATTACCACTACCACACTAATCATCTTTGCACCCATCACCGCTATCCCTGCTATAAGCAACACCTTCCCCATTATTCCAGTGATGGAGATGTTGGGTGTGCAGGGCGCCACATAAGGCTGGCGGACATGATGACAACTAAGCGAGTGGACGGAGTAGCAGTGCGGGCCTGGGTGGTGAGTGGAGAGTCTGGACGCGGGAAGTCTACCATTGCTTGCTCCCTCGCTGCTGCCTGGAGCCAGGCTCACCCCGCCGTCATGGGCCTTGAACACTTCAAGGTCAGGGTTACCTCAAAGGGTGTCAGCCCATCCTCAGTTTTTTTTTTTTTTTTTTTTTTTTGAGATATATAGAAGAGTTGTTACATTCTTGTACAGCCACTAGTACGCGTAGCGTTTCGGGCAAGTCCTTAATCCTATGGTCCCTGGAATACGATCCCCTGCCGCGAAGAATCGTTTTTTCATCCAAGTACACATTTTACTGTTGCGTTAAACAGAGGCTACAGTTAAAGAATTGCGCCCAGTAAATCCTCCCCGGCCAGGATACGAACCCATGACATAGCGCTCGCGGAACGCCAGGCGAGTGTCTTACCACTACACCACGGAGACTGCTAAAAGTTCAACTAAAAGTTGTTAGTTCATCAAGGAACCGAGAGCTTTAGATACAGTAGTACATTTACTATATGTACTGGTTATCTTGAGGTTATCTTGAGGTTATCTTGAGATGATTTCGGGGCTTTAGTGTCCCCGCGGCCCGGTCCTCGACCAGGCCTCTACCCCCAGGAAGCAGCCCGTGACAGCTGACTAACACCCAGGTACCTATTTTACTGCTAGGTAACAGGTGCATAGGGTGAAAGAAACTCTGCCCAATGTTTCTCGCCGGCGCCTGGGATCGAACCCAGGATCACAAGTCCAGCGTGCTGTCCGCTCGGCCGACCGGCTCCCTATTGATTGACTGGGACTAGTGATTGAGATCCTAGATGGTCCAAATTTTCCTGCATTCTTCCAGAGGATAAATCTAATTAAATCTAGCTAAATTTATCCAATCCAAGCTAAATTTATCACAACTCATCCAAGCTAAATTTAACCCATCATAACCTATAATTTCCTATCATTACCTATAGTATCCTACCTAAATCCAAATTTATCCATGCCAGACCTATGGTGGGTTATTCTTTCTTAACATAACTCAGCGTACACAATTTATCCATGCCAGACCTATGGTGGGTTATTCTTTCTTAACATAACCCAGCGTACACAATTTATCCATGCCAGACCTATGGTGGGTTATTCTTTCTTAACATAACCCAGCGTACACAATTTATCCATGCCAGACCTATGGTGGGTTATTCTTTCTTAACATAACTCAGCGTACCCAATTTATCCATGCCAGACCTATGGTGGGTTATTCTTTCTTAACATAACCCAGCGTACACAATTTATCCATGCCAGACCTATGGTGGGTTATTCTTTCTTAACATAACTCAGCGTACCCAATTTATCCATGCCAGACCTATGGTGGGTTATTCTTTCTTAACATAACCCAGCGTACACAATTTATCCATGCCAGACCTATGGTGGGTTATTCTTTCTTAACATAACCCAGCGTACCCAATTTATCCATGCCAGACCTATGGTGGGTTATTCTTTCTTAACATAACTCAGCGTACCCAATTTATCCATGCCAGACCTATGGTGGGTTATTCTTTCTTAACATAACCCAGCGTACACAATTTATCCATGCCAGACCTATGGTGGGTTATTCTTTCTTAACATAACCCAGCGTACACAATTTATCCATGCCAGACCTATGGTGGGTTATTCTTTCTTAACATAACTCAGCGTACCCAATTTATCCATGCCAGACCTATGGTGGGTTATTCTTTCTTAACATAACCCAGCGTACACAATTTATCCATGCCAGACCTATGGTGGGTTATTCTTTCTTAACATAACTCAGCGTACACAATTTATCCATGCCAGACCTATGGTGGGTTATTCTTTCTTAACATAACCCAGCGTACACAATTTATCCATGCCAGACCTATGGTGGGTTATTCTTTCTTAACATAACTCAGCGTACACAATTTATCCATGCCAGACCTATGGTGGGGTATTCTTTCTTAACATAACCCAGCGTACACAATTTATCCATGCCAGACCTATGGTGGGGTATTCTTTCTTAACATAACCCAGCGTACACAATTTATCCATGCCAGACCTATGGTGGGTTATTCTTTCTTAACATAACTCAGCGTACCCAATTTATCCATGCCAGACCTATGGTGGGTTATTCTTTCTTAACATAACCCAGCGTACACAATTTATCCATGCCAGACCTATGGTGGGTTATTCTTTCTTAACATAACCCAGCGTACACAATTTCATCATATACTAAAATAAATTCAGCTAAATGTATTCATATTGAATCCATCCACATTCAATTTTTTCCATCAGTACCTAATTTTAATTTACCCTTTAAGACCGGAGGGAGCTGGTCGGCCGAGCGGACAGCACACTGGACTTGTGATCCTGTGGTCCAGGGTTCGATCCTAGGCGCCGGCGAGAAACATTGGGCAGAGTTTCTTTCACCCTATGCCCCTGTTACTTAGCAGTAAAAAAAAATAGGTACCTGGGTGTTAGTCAGCTGTCACGGGCTGCTTCCTGGGGGTGGAGGCCTGGTCGAGGACCGGGCCGCGGGGACACTAAAGCCCCGAAATCATCTCAAGATAACCTCAAGATAACCCTAACTATCCTAAAATAACCTAGCATAGCATATGGTATCCCATCTGAACCTTGGATAAACAAATTTGCAAGGGCTGTGACGAGGGTTCGAACCTACGTCCGAGAGGATCCCAGACGCTGCCTTAATCGACTGAGCTACGACATGGTGGATTTATTCATTTGGTGCATCACACCAGGGGGCCTCGTAGCCTGGTGGATAGCGCGCAGGACTCGTAATTCTGTGGCGCGGGTTCGATTCCCGCACGAGGCAGAAACAAATGGGCAAAGTTTCTTTCACCCTAAGTGCCCCTGTTACCTAGCAGTAAATAGGTACCTGGGAGTTAGTCAGCTGTCACGGGCTGCTTCCTGGGGTGTGTGTGTGTGGTGTGGGGGAAAAAAAAAAGTAGTTAGTAAACAGTTGATTGACAGTTGAGAGGCGGGCCGAAAGAGCAAAGCTCAACCCCCGTAAAAACACAACTAGTAAACACACTACTGTGATTTCTGAGTGTAAACCTTGGATATCCTATCCAAACCTATGGTGACCTATTCTAACCTAATTAATCCAGCAATTCAATTAATTTCTTTCTTTATTATGCACCCAATACCCATCCCGTGGGCGGTGGTGTAAAGGATTACAGAGGCACATAATCGGTTCAGGAACTGAACCCTCTAGTTCGTTTAGCTAAGCAAATAACAATCTTTTGACGCTAGTTACAAAATTATTAATGTTGTATATACATGTACACATACTCATGCATACATGTACATATACATACGTATACATATATACATACACATACATATTTAATCACCTACACAAATACACACATCAATAATCTTTTGTGTCATAAGTGATTCAACAAGAGGCTCACAACAGTCACTATACAACAGTCACTGGGGGCCTCGTAGCCTGGTGGAAAGCGCGTAGGACTCGTAATTCTGAGGCGCGGGTTCGATTCCCGCACGTAAAGGCAAAGTTTCTTTCACCCTGAATGCCCCTGTTACCTAGCAGTAAATAGGTACCTGAGGAGTTAGTCAGCTGTCACGGGCTGCTTCCTGGTGTGCGTGTGTGTGTGTGGTGTGGAAAAAATAAGTAGTTAGTAAACAGTTGATTGACAACCTGAGAGGTGGGCCGAAAAAGCAAATCTCAACCCCCGTAAACATAACTAGGTGAATACAAGGCACTTTACAGCTATGGTGAGTCGCACAGTTACTAGTCTTGCTCCACACCCACCCAACTGGGCGGCAGCTTTACAGTCATGTGCTGCACACCCACCCAACTGGGCGGCAGCTTTACAGTCATGTGCTGCACACCCACCCAACTGGGCGGCAGCTTTACAGTCATGTGCTGCACACCCACCCAACTGGGCGGCAGCTTTACAGTCATGTGCTGCACACCCACCCAACTGGGCGGCAGCTTTACAGTCATGTGCTCCACACCCACCCAACTGGGCGGCAGCTTTACAGTCATGTGCTGCACACCCACCCAACTGGGCGGCAGCTTTACAGTCATGTGCTCCACACCCACCCAACTGGGCGGCAGCTTTACAGTCATGTGCTCCACACCCACCCAACTGGGCGGCAGCTTTACAGTCATGTGCTGCACACCCACCCAACTGGGCGGCAGCTTTACAGTCATGTGCTCCACACCCACCCAACTGGGCGGCAGCTTTACAGTCATGTGCTGCACACCCACCCAACTGGGCGGCAGCTTTACAGTCATGTGCTCCACACCCACCCAACTGGGCGGCAGCTTTACAGTCATGTGCATGCATTACTTACAGTAATGCATGCACATGACTGTAAAGACATCCTTTTCTAATTTATCCTAACAGAAACCAAATTTAAGCAAATATTCTCTATCGTGCCAAATATATCCTAATTTATTCCGACAGAAGCTATACCTAACCAAATGTAACCAAATGCACCTCATCATGCCAGATTTATCCCACTGGAAGCTAAATCTAACTCTACCCAAATTCTCAATATCCCAATATTTATCCCTATTCATCCTAACAGAAGCTAAATCTAATTAAAGGGGAGGGTAGAAATAGCCTAAGCTACTCTATCCCTTTGAGATGTATTTATTGCTTATCTCAATAAACATACTTGAACTTGAACTTGATCTAATTAAATTTAAGGAAATTTATTATATCCTACCAAAATGTATTTTTAGTTTATACCAGCAGAAGCTAAATCTAAGCAAATATAGCAAAATTTAAGGAATCATATCAAAATGTTTCCTAATTAATCCTATCCAAGCTGAATTTTACCCATCTTAATCGAATCTAACTCATAATCCCATCGCATACACAAGGAAATCACATTCTTGAGGTTATCTTGAGATGATTTCGGGGCTTTAGTGTCCCCGCGGCCCGGTCCTCGACCAGGCCTCCACCCCCAGGAAGCAGCCCGTGACAGCTGACTAACACCCAGGTACCTATTTTACTGCTAGGTAACAGGGGCATAGGGTGAAAGAAACTCTGCCCATTGTTTCTCGCCGGCGCCTGGGATCGAACCCAGGATCACAAGTCCCGCGTGCTGTCCGCTCGGCCGAC